ATATATATATATATATATATATATATATATATATATATATATATATATATATATATATATATATATATATATATATATATATATATATATATATATATATATATATATATATATATATATATATATATATATATATATATATATATATATATATATATATATATATATATATATTAGGGGTGTAACGATACACTCAGCTCACGGTACGATGTGTATCACAGTATAATGCTCACGATTCGATATGTATCACGATATTTGGAATAAAAATTGAAAATTAAACTGAAATGCAAATTTTACCAAGTAAACTATTTTTTATGTATTTCTTTTGTTTCAACTTGTTAAACTGAACCTTCTTTAAGAAAATAAATTAAACAGGCCTGTGTCTGGAAAATAAAACAATTTAAAAAACTTCTTTAAAATATTATTGAAATGACAGAGACAAAATTAAGGAACAATTTAAGTATAGGTGCAAAAAAATAAGCTTTCTATTCAATTGAATTTAACAGTAAGAGCTTAAGGCTTTGCTTGGTCACTTGCGTTTTTTGTGTGTGCAAAAAAAAATCCACATTTCCAGGTATTTAATTCATATTTAATTAAATTCATTTAGAAATATCTCTAACTACAATTGTGACTAGTCAAAGCTCATTTAGAGATATCTGCAAATATTTTTCAATGGAAGTCAATAGAGGAATATGACTAGTCATAATATATTTGCAGATATCTCCAATCTGATTTCGTACTAGTACAATTGTAATTGCAGATATCTCTAATTGTCATTCTGAATAGTCGAATTATAATTATGACTAGTCAAAACATAATTAGAGATATCTCTAAATATATTTATGGATAGTCAGAACAAAGGTTTAAATGCTAAAACGGCTTGCCATACGTGCGCGTCTATCAGTCCGCCCTCTGTAGTAATAGCTCACGGTGAGCTCACGTCATGTGTGATTTTGCGGCGGGAACATTATATGAAGACAGAATGATATTTTAGGGTGAATTGTACCTTATAAATACAGTATGTGACTCTTTCAAAACCATTAGGAGGTATCCCTGTCGCTGTGCAAAGTATGTAAATCACTGTGAAGACTTTAAAACTTAGGATGTTTGACCCAGTATGCGTGTCAAAAAGCGAACGAGTCTAAAGCAATGACTGTACAACCGAAATGTTGCCAGACTTCTGATTTTGAGAGCCATCCTCTATTTCAGCTCCACTCATCTTGGTCTGCTAACATTACTGCTGCTGCAATCTGAACTCACGTGCGACAGCAGGTGGAACGTAGCTCACGTGCAAACAGCTCATAAGAGAAAACGGACGTCGTATCGTAATCAAATCGTCATAACGCCACGATGCATATTGTGACATTTTTGCATCGCAATAAATCGTACAACGATAACTCGTTCCACCCCTAATATATATATTAGAAATTAGAAAATTTGAATTTTAACTCTTTAAAAAAACGAATAATGGATTTAATTTTAATGTTGATTAGAATTAAGTTACCCACCAGAAATGGTAACATTGACTTTCAAGCAAATTTTCTTCCCTCCTCTGTTGCAGAGTTTTAGCTGATAAACTCCAGAGTCACTTTTTTGGGTGTTTTTCACAGTCAGAGATGCGCTTTGATGGTGAAGCTCCAGCCTGCATCTGAATCTCCTATCATCCCCATATGAAGTCTTACTGACGTCTCCGTTCATTCCAGATGCTAGGGTCACACCTTCAAATGTCCACTGCAGCTGCTCATCTCGATTTACAATAAAATTAGTGATTAAAATTAAGCTTTCTCCCACATTCACCGACACAGTGTTTGGATCAGAGTCACCTGGAGAACGAACAGAGAAAGTTACTCAGACTGAGATAAAAGTAAAGTTATACTATCTGTAACAGATTCAACATTAGATACAGTATTTGTATGGCCTAAATTAAGCATCCTCAATAAGCAGACCTGAGTTTGGTTCTGGACATCAATTGTTTCCAAACAAACTATGAAATATATGATAATAGTGGCACCATTCTTCCATTAATGCATGTTGTTAGGACTACGTTGTTTTGTTTGTGTGTTTGATTTTGATTTCTAGATTGGGGGTGTGCCTTCAGCGCACCTGATGCTGGTCAGCGCCCTTATTTAAACCCCGGCAGAGAGTTTGTCGGGTGTGTCCATTCACTTGGCAGTTGGCCAGAGCCGCGCTCCTATTTGGCCTTTATGCTTTGTTTCGCATCCATACATTATCACTGACAACATTTACAGCATCCATACATTTCCATTTCACACTGATTGAACATACTGATACTGATATTTGGAGTATATAATTTAAATTGAGTTAAATAAATATTCTTTTTGATTATACTTCTCCTTGTCGTCTTTCTCATTATGTTACATCCTTGAGCCAGGTGTAACATATGGGGGCTCGTCTAATTTAAATTTTGTTGATTTGATCTTTGGCTTTCGTAATAGGTATTTGTTTGTGTAATAGGTGGGAGAGACAAGGAGGCGGAGATATTTGTTGGAGCGTCTTTGGGTTTCTAGTCTGACTAGGAAAAGTTCTTGCGGTTTAAAACTGTGTAAATTTCCCCTGTTAGGTTGTAGCAGCGCATTGCGTTGTTTTTTTATTTTAGTTTGTTATTTTTGTGCGGCTTCTGGGTTGAGTGCACTGCCGTGGAGTAGTTCTGAACTATCTGTTCAGTTCCACACCAGCGGATATATATTGTAATGATTTATTTTGTAATACTTTTATTGACTTTATGGTCTGTGCATGTTTCTTTTCCCCACAATAAAGTTTATCAAGACCTGCAGATTTTAATAATTAATTTAAAATATATATATTTTTTTGTAATTTTTACAGAATCAATTATGGTGAGTACAATAGATCAATACTAAAACATGGAAGAATACAGCTTTTTTATGCCTCTTTTCAAATAAAGCTGAAGTGTGGTTGTGAATTGTGTTTTTCATCTATATTTATATCAATAATAATAATTATAATCCTCCTCTATGAACTGCCACCTTATCGTGGGGGAGGGCTTTGAGTGCCTTAGGTCAGAGTGCAGATGAAAAACCCCTTATGAGTGCAATAACAGGGAGCACCGTGATGTCGCCTGGTATGGCGCACCGGGACCCCACCCTGGAGCCAGGCCTGGGGTTAGGGCCCAGGTTTTATCCCATGGAACCCGGCCGGACTCAACCCAAAGGAGTGTAGTGAGACCATTCTCCTGCAGGGGGAGCCATAAGGGGCTAGTGCATGCATTGTCGAACGGATGGTGGTTGAAGGTCAGGACAATGACAACCCTATCGTCGATCACAGAAACTGGCACTTGGGACATGGAATGAAGGAGCCCGAGCTTGTGCAGGAGGTGGAACTGTACTAGAGATAGTTGGGCTTACCTTCACGCAAATCTGGGGTTCTGGTACTTAACCGCATAGTAGAAAAATGTCTAGCCCTTCTCATGGAGTTGACCATGGTGAGAGGCGGCGGGCTGGTGTGGGCTTGCATATAGCTGCCCAACTTAGACACCATGTGTTAGACTTTTCCCCGATAAACGAGAGGGTCGCCTCCCTGCCCCTTAGGGTCAGGGATATGTCTCTCACTGCGGTTTGTGCCTACAGGTCAAACACCAGAGTAGAGTACCCGGCCTTTTTGGGGTTCTTGGTAGGGGTTCTGGAATGTGAATCTGAGTGGTGTTCTGTTATTGGACTTCTGTGCTAATCACAGTTTGTCTATAACAAACACCATTTTCGAACATAATGGTGTCCATCAGTGCACATGGCACTAGGACACCCTAAGGTGGAGGTCGATGACTGACTTTGTGGTTGTATTATCTTATCTCTGACAGACCATATGTCTTGGACACTCGGGTAAAGAGAGGGTCAGAGGTGTCAACTGCTCACCACCTGGTGGTGAGTTGGATCTGCTGGCAGGGGGGAAAGCTGGACAGACCTGGCAGGCTCAAGCTTATAGTGAGGGTCCTCTGTGAATGTCTGGCTAAATATTAAATCAGAGCGATTTTCAACTCTCACCTCCGGAAGTGCTTTGACCAGATCCCGAGGGAGGTTGGAGACATTGAGACATAGTGGTCCATGTTCTCCAACTCCATTGTTGACATGGCCATGAGGACCATAAGGTCTGTGGTGCCTGTCGAGGCGGATATGTTGTAGATATATGTATACTTTGGGCAGTTTAATTAACACATATTTTTCGCAAAGGACTATGTGTCCTCCAGTATTTTTCTTTCAAGTTCTGTCAATAGAGTTGCTAAATAATGCACTAGTGATGGGAAAAACAAAGCTTTGAAACAACTGAACAAATTGCGTCGCAAAATTATTCACTGTTTTAAAGCCTTTGAAATACCACATGCTAGGGACACTTTAAAAGTTAAGGGGGTCTGAATACTTTTTGTACCCACTGTGTATTCATTAGCTGCTGACTCCTAATAGCATTCTTGTTTTTTTTAGGTTTTAAAACTAAAAATGTTTACATCCTAATCAGGATAACAAGACTAAGCTTGAATACCACAAGTCATGCCATAACTGTTTCAACCCAGAATTAAGCATTTCTGCAATATGGACTTAATATAACATTAATAACCATATTGCTCTAAATTCAAAAGGATTTGTATAGCAGTTTTCATGATACAAATGACTTAAAAGCTGAACTACAGACAAAAAGTATGATTCCTATTTTCAATTTAATCTAATTTGTTCATATGCCACTACTGTATTTTGATAGTAAAGTCAGTTAAACTGAAAGACTCACCACACACAAAAACTCGGAATCTCCTGTAAAATGTCCTTCTGCTACTGATGATGTGTAGTTTATAAGCTCCAGAGTGTTCGCTCGTGATGTTTCTGATGGTCAAAGATCCAGTCATCTTGTCCAGCAGCAGTTTGTTTCTGAATCTCTCGTCGGCTTCAGTAAATGTGCTCTCTGATGTTTCTCCATTCATTTGAACTATGAGGTTGTCTTCGTCTCCAAACATCCACAGGATCAGATCATCTCTTTGTAATTCATCTTGAACATTCAGAGTGACGTTGTTTCCCTCCTTTCCTAATATCATACTCACTTAGAGAAAATGGTTGTAAAAAATACACAACAGAAGACTTTGAATGAAATGCTAAAAAAAATCATATCCTACACACAATAGTTTGAGTGTCGGAAAATGTCGGAAACACAACATCTAAACAGTGGGAACCATTATAATTAAAATCAAGCAACTAGATTTACTAGAAAATCACTAGAAATAATACAATATTTAGCTTTTAATTCAAAGGCCTGTAGTCAATCATTTCTTAGTTAGTACCGCGCAAATATTCAAAAAAGTTTATTGTACCTAAAGGAAATAAGTTTTGTAAACTAGAAGTATTACAGTGGGATTTACAGTGGTTTGAAGGCTTGAATATGTGAGTTGTTTAAGAAATGAGCTGAAAAAACTTAAACTGTATACCCTGCATAAATCTATAGCGTATAAAATTTGTCTAAAATAATCTCTTTGACATTACATGATCACTCATAAAATAAGTATTTTATTATTCAAACTATAAACATCGAATCAACTTAAGTGTGGTTTATTTATAAACTAATTTCGAAAGAACCACAGGGCTCAACAATAAGGACTGCCCGATGGCCCGGGGCCAGCATGTGAGATGCTCGGGACAGTAGACAGGATCGCTACTGGCCCGATCGGGCCCCTCCTGTGACAAAAACAGTCAAAATCGAGAAACAGTTTGTGTTTTCAAGCCTTTAAATGCTACCTTTTCGGTTCCTCTTTTCTGATTGGATGTTGTGAGCACATTATTTTTTTCGTAACAACCAGTACAGCAAAGAGACAGCAACATGGCGGCAACATCAAATGATGCTAAAGGAAAACATTTGTTTCTAACGTCTTGGAAGCAGACATTTATGAGGGTACGCCACGACGTGATGTTTTGTACAGCTTGCTGCAGTTTGGCAGGTCAGCCATCTTTTGTTTTGCAATAAAATACCTGCACATTTTGCTACTTTTGTGTGCAAAACACATGTTTGAATGTTGCTCATTACACATTTATTAACATTTTATAAATAATTAAATTCTAGATTTACGAACATTTTGACACATTTCTTTTCTAAATTTGTGGCTAAGGAATAACTATTAACTTTTTTTTGGTAGGGCCAGTGAAAATATTGGCAGGGCAAGTAAAAATTTGAACCACTGGTCCGATCGGGCCAGTAGAAAAAATCCTCAGCGTTGAACCCTGAACCACGTGATTATGACTAAACACGGCTGGTACAGCGTCAGATCCGTATATTCCACCAATCAAATGAATAATGACACACTATAAATAACCAGAGTTTTTCACTCCAGTCATCTTCGTCTTAAAGAACCCGCTTCCACATCTACTCCTCCCCTTCTCTGATGGGGCGGCACGGCGGCCCAGTGGTTGACACTGTTGCCTAACAGCAAGAGGGCTGCTGGTTCGGGCCCTTACCAAGCCGGTCAGCGTTTCTGTGCGGAGTTTGCATGTTCTCTCTGAGTTTGCGTGGGTTTGCCCTAGGTTTCCTGGTTTCCTCCTTACCATCCAAAGACATACACCATGAGTAAATTGACTGCTTCAAAATAGCATCTTAAGCACTTCTTAGCCAGATATATCACAACACGTTCACAAGCACGGGAGTTCTCGAACCCAACTGGAGGGAGCCCCCTGCTCTCTCCTGGGACAGCATGCCAAACAAAATCATCATTTCTGGCACCAAATATCAAAAAGAAAATGTGTATTTGTTCTGGTAGGAGAAGTTACTGTGGCCATTTTTATTATATAACAAATATCCTGTGCCTCAAAAGACTAAGATGAAAGTCAATGAATGTATGGTGGCCTTTGAAGGCGTGAGATGCTCTTTGGGATGGCAAACTTTATGTGCATTTTGGCATTTCCTTCGGGCATTTTTAGAGACTTAATCTCTGTATAAAGGAGTTTGAACATGAAGGAGTTTAAGGTAAATAACAGACTCACCTTTGACAAAAATCAAGAAATGTTTGTCCCATGGCTCTTTGCTGCTGTTGATCTTTAGTGTATAAAGTCCAGTGTGCTCAGGTCTGGTGTTCTTGATGGTCAGAGATCCAGTCTTGCCATCCACCATCATTCTGCCTTTGAATCTCCCACCTCCAACATCATATTTACGGATCTCTCTGCTCCTTCCCTCGATTTCGGCTAGAAGTGTGTTTTCTTTGTACAGCCACTGTATCTGGTCTTTTTTACCAATTTCAACATGAGCCTCTAGCTTGACAGGATCTCCCTCCATCACTGACACTTTCTCGACTTTGTTGCAAAAGTGCAGAAAAAAGAAATGAGATTGTTAACTTTGCAAATGGAAAAAAATATCTATCTATCTATCTATCTATCTATCTATCTATCTATCTATCTATCTATCTATCTATCTATCTATCTGTCTGTCTGTCTGTCTGTCTGTCTGTCTGTCTGTCTGTCTGTCTGTCTATCTATCTATCTATCTATCAGACAGAGCAAGGAAATTTTCACAGCAGGTCTGATAATATTTTTTTTTCTTCTGGAGAAAGTTGTATTTGTTTTATTTCAGCTAAAATAAAAGCAGTTTTAATTTTTTTTACACCATTTTAAGGACAAAATTATTAGTCACTTTAGGCAAAAAAAAAATGTTCAATAGTCTATAGAACAACCCATTATTATACAATAACTTGCCTAATTACCCTAACCTGCCTAGTTAACCTAATTAACCTAGTTAACCCTTTAAATGTCACTTCAAGCTGCATAGAAGTGTACTCACAGTTTACCAGCACTTTGAAGGTCTTGCATGAGGTTCCCCTGCTGCTGTTGCTGATCTGTAGTTTGTACAGTCCTGAGTGATAGTTTTTGATGTCTGTGATGGTCAGAGATCCAGTCTTCTTGTCAAGGATCAGTCTGTTTTTAAATCTTGCATCAGTACCATCGAATGTCTTTGTGGTCTTTTGCAACTGAGCTATGAGACTGTCTTCATCTCCAAACATCCACAGGATCAGATCGTCTTTCTGTGTTTCAGAGTCAGGGTCTAAAGTGACAGAACTTCCCTCCATCACTGATTTTACATCCTCTTCATTTTGAACCGAAGCACATAAAAATAGAGAAATACATAGACAGATTTCATTTAGATGCTCAGGAGTCAGGACTGAACAAAAAAACAATGAATTGATTCAATGAGTTTTGTTGTAGTTAATTAAAATATATTAAATAAACAGCTCAGTGATGCTAGAATATGAAAAATCAGGGGAAAGAACTACAATCCCATGACATCACATTAAAAAATCACATTAAACTATGGAGAAATATTAAGCTGTTGGCTGTGTGTGGTAAAATGTAACTATAATCTGAAATTTGCTGGGTTGTTTTAACTTAAGGTTGGCTAAAACATAGACAACCTCAATGTTGAGTAATATTTTTATGATACTTTATTTATTTGTTACTTATTTACATTTTATATGACACTTTTTTTAACCCAGTGGTTAGATTTGTTTATATTTAATCTACGTTGGGTTACTACAACTGAGAATTTATTTCTGTGTTTCTCTGTGTGTGTAGTAAATACTCACCTAAAGGTATGTGGTTATAAGAGTTTCAAAACAGGTATGTAAAAATGTGCCGTTCATTTGCTTGGTAAACCATAAGAAAAGGTCATCTAACAAAGGCAAATAATCATGCTATACAGTATTATTTCTTTTTCCCACAAGATGTTTTGAGCTGAACAGTAACTACTAACATACTAATATTGCTAAATGTTGACAGCAATTATGTTTCAAGGCATGTGATTGGCTGTTTGATCTGCCTTCATGTGTTCATGACAGTCTAGTCCTGTTAATATATAATTAGCTGCTCCCGAGCAGGTTTTAACTAACAGAACTGTAGCTATGACAAAAACTTTCATATAAATTTTGAGTGAAAATATCCTGGATCATGTTAAATCACTAATAACCAAATCAAGCTAAATAAATAATCCACATATGAAGAAAGAACCCCTGAGCTTCACTTCTGAGTTTTTAACACTGACTCTTATTTAAAGACTTGAGATACTCACGTATGAGAGTAAGAATGAAGGTTTGGTATGAGGTCCCAGTGCTGCTGATGATCTTCAGTTTATAGACTCCAACATGTTCGCTTGCTGTTTTTGTTATCGTTACAGATCCAGTTGTAGAGTCAAGCCTCAGCCTGTCTCTGAATCTCCCATCAGCACAATCACCGGTAGAGATCTCTCTGGTATTTCCATTGACTCCAGCGATAAGAGTCTCTTGCGGTCCAAACGTCCACAGTATCTGATCGTCTCTCTGAATTACAGCATCAGGCTTTAGGGTGACAGATTCTCCTACCTTCACAGACACTTTCTTTGTTTCATCTGTCAGCACATAAACATGGTCAATTTGTGGATAAAAAACACAAGACATCACCAGGGCAAACAAGAAAAAAACAAATGCTGCGTCCGAAACCGCCTACTACTCAGTAGGTACTGCATTTGAATTTAAACGTACTACTCGGCTGTTTGAAAAGTATGTTCTATACAGTATGAACGTGAAAAGTATGGCTGTTTCTCAATATGCGTTCTTCAGCGGTCTTGCGTCCTCGTGTTCTCGTGCAACGTCATCATCAGCTGCCTAAGTTCAGTTCCAATACTCAAGACCGCAAGTACGGAGGACGCGTGAAACTTCCCGGATGTGTTCTTGATATCGAGGACGCACTGATGCAGACTTGAGCACCGAACTCGCTCTGGAAGTCCCAGAAGTCATTGCGACTGGAGGTGGGAAGCGCAGCATTTTATTTAGATTTATTATTAAAGTTCAGAGACATCACTTATTTTCCTCAGGAGTTTCCCTAAATGAAACATTGAAAGTAAACATTAACATGAACATCCTAATAAAGGAATAAACACATTAAGGGTGTTTGTTTGATGAAATTCGTATTAAAATTTGTTTTATTTATATTGTGCAGAGTATATTTATAATGTTTTTATCCAAAGTATATATTTTGAAGAGGGGGCGGGAAACAATAAATCGTTGTATGAAGGCTGTAATGTTTAAATAATTTCCATTTAAAACGCGTGAAGGTCACATGACCATCAGGAAGAACGCAGCATCCCATTGCTCAAAGGACGCGTTCTCTGCCCTCGCGGTCTCCTGAGTTCGTTCTTCCGAGGACACCAGGCAAGACCGGTCTCCACAAGGACGCAAGTCCATTCTCTGCGTTCTTGGAATTGAGAAACAGCCAATGAATGGAATTCGGACTTACTACATCCGCCATTTTGTCATGGTCACGTGACCTACCTGCGTCAATGGCCTCGCTTTACTCCCATTCATGATTTCGCTCGCGTGGCATCATGGGACAGCACAGCGTGCATGGAATGCGCACTCTAGAATCTCGCCGGAAGTAGTAATCCGGGTACTTCTCGCATACTGATTTTCGAATTCTATGAATTCGGACGTACTACTCGGCTCGCATACTGATTTTAGCGAATTTTATAGTATGGAAGTATGCGGTTTCGGACGCAGCCAAAATAACCAAGTTGAGCAGGCAAAGCAGATCAACAAACCAAATACATCAAAGCAAACTAGGCATGTGATGAAAATAAAATATAGGTCCAAGATGCAAAAATGTGGATGCACTTGGGTGAAAACCAAAATTGCCTTTTTACTTCATAGAAATGTTTTGTTTGTACGTTATTTGAGTAGACTTTGCTATTTCGTTAAGCATGTGCAGTTTATCCATTGATAAGTATATGTGTACAAAACCGGAAAAACCCCAGAGCAGTATATTGAGCTATTTTGAACTTGGCCATAATGCACACTGCTCTTGTTCTTTGGTCAGTGCAGCAACAAACCACCATTGCATGGCTCAATTCATTGAAATACATGGATTTCATAGCACTGCGCTTTCTATGTCAAGTGTAAAAGCCTCTTCACATTGTGTGATTACTAGGCTGGAGGGTGTTACCACGACTGGGGTGGAGTGACAGGAGACAACAGGAGGTAAGATCCAATATGCAGTTTATTCAAAGTCAGGCAAGCAGTGGTCATCAGGTGCAAACAGGTATCTATAGACAGTCCAGAATCGTAGTCGATATAAACAGGCAGAAGGTCGAAAGGCAGGCAGCTAAACAGGATAAGTGGAATACAAGGCTAGGGTCTAAACACAGAGAAACAAGACAGGGAAACGCGTTGTAATGTTACACAGGGAAAACAAGACTCGGCCAACTGGTAGCGTGAGAGAGCGGCTTATGAATGGGGTGGAATCAGTCTGTGAACAAGGTCCAGCTGGTAATGCAATCAGGATAGATGACTGAGCAGGCGTGTGTGTCTGGGAGCAGTGCATGTATGAAAATGTAGTCCTGGGAAATGCGGAAATGTAGTCATGAGAGTTCGTGTGAGAACCAGCGATCGTCATGAGAGTTCGTGTGAGAACAAGCGATCGCTGGTTGTGTGACAGAGGGAGAGTAAAATTAACGCGCCGAACAACACAGAATAGCCCTTTTTCAGCTCAAATATTTCACTTTTTTTTTGTTTTTAACCCAAAAACTCAAACTACTACTCACATTACTACTCTAAACAAACTTCAATAGAGCTGGTGTTAAAAATGGCCTATATGCTAACAATGATAAAACTTTACAATAGCATGTTTTAATACTTACACATCTGACTTTGTTGATCAGAGATCTCTCCTTTTTGCACCTCCGCTTTATAGCAGCAAATAGAAAGAAAAGTTTTATAAATACTTGGAAATTTAAACCAATCAAGAACGTATTTCAAACATACAATATACTGTAGCTTTGGACATAATTAATAAGCTGCATTAAAATACTTGATTTATAAAAATAACATTGCACATTTGTAATAGTAAACTCAACATTATAATTATTAACTATATACAGGGCTTGACATTAACACCCGCCAAATGCGTGAAGATTTTGCCTGGGGCGGGTTAGACAGACACCCTCACTAGCCATGTTGGCTGTTGAAAATAGTTTATTTAAATGTCAGTAATGTTTTGTCACTAAATATTAGAATTTTAGTTTAAGACTGTTTGTCAATATGTGTGCAAATGTGATCTTACAATCAAGAAACAGCACGACTGATAAGTGTTCGCGCGAGCAAAAGAAAGCAGGTGAATATCGAATAATCAAAAGGTGCGATTGGTTCTCTTTGAAATAGACTGGTAAAAAGGAGTGCTCATGCATGCACAGTCCAGCTACTTTTAAGAGCTTGAGACTTTTTGTAAGCAGCAATAGTTGCCGCTTTTGCTTTAACCATTCTTTGAACAGATTATTAATGAGCCTAACTTTAACTTTTTGCATGCGATTATTCTCTCATTATTGCACATGGTATGTTTTTCATTTGCTTACAGTTATTTTTGTTAATGCCTAAGTTATCACCATTGATGATAACATTGCTTTAATGGGAGATTAACACTCCATTTAGAAATAGTTAACTGTTGATCTGTTACCTTTAGCTTGGACAGACTGCAGTGTATAGTTTTAGATACAATAAGTTAAATCCTATTAAGTCCTAAAAAGTCATGTGAAATAAAATTGCAATGCGGCACTATGAAACCACAACCTATTTGCTCATACTCATCAAGCAAGGTCACAAAACACACACACACATACACACACACACACACACACACACACAAAAAAAAAAAAACTTGTAGTATGTGGGCATAACACAAAATTTAAATCTTGTTCTTTGGTCAGTGCAGCAACAAACCAACATTGCATGGCTCAATTCATTGAAATACATGGATTTCATAGCACTGCGCTTTCTATGTCAAGTGTAAAAGCCTCTTCACATTGTGTGATTACTAGGCTGGAGGGTGTTACCACGACTGGGGTGGAGTGACAGGAGACAACAGGAGGTAAGATCCAATATGCAGTTTATTCAAAGTCAGGCAAGCAGTGGTCATCAGGTGCAAACAGGTATCTATAGACAGTCCAGAATCGTAGTCGATATAAACAGGCAGAAGGTCGAAAGGCAGGCAGCTAAACAGGATAAGTGGAATACAAGGCTAGGGTCTAAACACAGAGAAACAAGACAGGGAAACGCGTTGTAATGTTACACAGGGAAAACAAGACTCGGCCAACTGGTAGCGTGAGAGGCTTATGAATGGGGTGGAATCAGTCTGTGAACAAGGTCCAGCTGGTAATGCAATCAGGATAGATGACTGAGCAGGCGTGTGTGTCTGGGAGCAGTGCATGTATGAAAATGTAGTCCTGGGAAATGCGGAAATGTAGTCATGAGAGTTCGTGTGAGAACCAGCGATCTCTGGAAAGCGATCGCTGGTTGTGTGACAGAGGGAGAGTAAAAATTAACGCGCCGAACAACACAGAATAGCCCTTTTTCAGCTCAAATATTCCACTTTTTTTTGTTTTTAACCCAAAAACTCAAACTACTACTCACATTACTACTCTAAACAAACTTCAATAGAGCTGGTGTTAAAAATGGCCTATATGCTAACAATGATAAAACTTTACAATAGCATGTTTTAATACTTACACATCTGACTTTGTTGATCAGAGATCTCTCCTTTTTGCACCTCCGCTTTATAGCAGCAAATAGAAAGAAAAGTTTTATAAATACTTGGAAATTTAAACCAATCAAGAACGTATTTCAAACATACAATATACTGTAGCTTTGGACATAATTAATAAGCTGCATTAAAATACTTGATTTATAAAAATAACATTGCACATTTGTAATAGTAAACTCAACATTATAATTATTAACTATATACAGGGCTTGACATTAACACCCGCCAAATGCGTGAAGATTTTGCCTGGGGCGGGTTACACAGACACCCTCACTAGCCATGTTGGCTGTTGAAAATAGTTTATTTAAATGTCAGTACTGTTTTGTCACTAAATATTAGAATTTTTGTTTAAGACTGTTTGTCAATATGCGTGCAAATGTGATCTTACAATCAAGAAACAGCACGACTGATAAGTGTTCGCGCGAGCAAAAGATAGCAGGTGAATATTGAATAATCAAAAGGTGCGATTGGTTCTCTTTGAAATAGACTGGTAAAAAGGAGTGCTCATGCATGCACAGTCCTGCTACTTTTAAGAGCTTGAGACTTTTTGTAAGCAGCAATAGTTGCCGCTTTCGCTTTAACCATTCTTTGAACAGATTATTAATGAGCCTAACTTTAACTTTTTGCATGCGATTATCCTCTCATTATTGCACATGGTATGTTTTTCATTTGCTTACAGTTATTTTTGTTAATGCCTAAGTTATCACCATTTATGATAACATTGCTTTAATGGGAGATTAACACTCCATTTAGAAATAGTTAACTGTTGATCTGCTACCTTTAGCTTGGACAGACTGCAGTGTATAGTTTTAGATACAATAAGTTAAATCCTAATAAGTCCTAAAAAGTCATGTGAAATAAAATTGCAATGCGGCACTATGAAACCACAACCTATTTGCTCATACTCATCAAGCAAGGTCACAAAACACACACACACATACACACACACACACACACACACACACACACACAAAAAAAAAAAAAACTTGTAGTATGTGGGCATAACACAAAATTTAAATCTTGTTCTTTGGTCAGTGCAGCAACAAACCAACATTGCATGGCTCAATTCATTGAAATACATGGATTTCATAGCACTGATCTCTGGAAAGCGATCGCTGGTTGTGTGACAGAGGGAGAGTAAAATTAACGCGCCGAACAACACAGAATAGCCCTTTTTCAGCTCAAATATTCCACTTTTTTTTGTTTTTAACCCAAAAACTCAAACTACTACTCACATTACTACTCTAAACAAACTTCAATAGAGCTGGTGTTAAAAATGGCCTATATGCTAACAATGATAAAACTTTACAATAGCAAGTTTTAATACTTACACATCTGACTTTGTTGATCAGAGATCTCTCCTTTTTGCACCTCCGCTTTATAGCAGCAAATAGAAAGAAAAGTTTTATAAATACTTGGAAATTTAAACCAATCAAGAACGTATTTCAAACATACAATATACTGTAGCTTTGGACATAATTAATAAGCTGCATTAAAAATACTTGATTTATAAAAATAATATTGCACATTTGTAATAGTAAACTCAACATTATAATTATTAACTATTTACAGGGCTTGACATTAACACCCGCCAAATGCGTGAAGATTTTGCCTGGGGCGGGTTAAACAGACACCCTCACTAGTTATGTTGGCTGTTGAAAATAGTTTATTTAAATGTCAGTAATGTTTTGTCACTAAATATTAGACTTTTAGTTTAAGACTGTTTGTCAATATGCGAGCAAATGTGATCTTACAATCAAGAAACAGCACGACTGATAAGTGTTCGCGCGAGCAAAAGATAGCAGGTGAATATCGAATAATCAAAAGGTGTGATTGGGTATCTTTGAAATAGATTGGTAAAAAGGAGTGCTCATGCATGCACAGTCCTGCTACTTTTAAGAGCTTGAGACTTTTTGTAAGCAGCAATAGTTGCCGCTTTCGCTTTAACCATTCTTTGAACAGATTATTAATGAGCCTAACTTTAACTTTTTGCATGCGATAACCCTTTCATTATTGCACATGGTATGTTTTTCATTTGCTTACAGTTATTTTTGTTAATGCCTAAGTTATCACCATTGATGATAACATTGCTTTAATGGGAGATTAACACTCCATTAAGATATAGTTAACTGTTGATCTGCTACCTTTAGCTTGGACAGACTGCAGTGTATAGTTTTAGATACAATAAGTTAAATCCTAATAAGTCCTAAAAAGTCATGTGAAATAAATCTAACTGCAATGCGGCACTATGAAACCACAACCTATTTGCTCATACTCATCAAGCAAGGTCACAAAACACACACACACACACACACACACACACACACACACACACACACACACACACACACACACACACACACACACACACACACACACACACACACACACACACACACAACTTGTGGTATGTGGGCATAACACAAAATTTAAATAAACTAATTTTAACATGCCAAAGTCAAATTTATGCATATTAAATCTGTTTTCTCAAGAACAAACTAGTGGCTAGTGAAAATTGCGAGTGGCTAGTAATGTCGGAAAACTACTAGCCACAGTGGCTGGTGATCAAAAAAGTTAACGTCAAGCTCTGACTATATATGGAATAATGCATTATACTTTTAAAACTCTTCTTTAGCACACTCATTTTTCTTCTGTTGTCTCAACTTACATTTTTTATCAAGACATTTGTGGCGATGGTAAAACACAAAAGCAGCAACTCCTGCAAGCACTAGCAGAAGAACGACGACAGATATTCCTGCCGCAGCACCTGGAGACAAACCTGAACCTGATCAAGAAAAACAGTCAGAAATAAACACCATAAACATCCACTACTGTAGATCTGGAAGGTTAAACTTTGTCAATGATCCTTGACTAATTACATGTAAAATATTTGAGAATACAATTATTTGTATAATATGATTAAGAATACTATTTGATCTTTAAGTACTAGGTGTAGTGAAGTTCTTAACTTTAATTCAAATTGCAAATTTTCAGCTCCAGGTAACATCCCAGACACTATTCCTACAGGCCATAGAGCATGTGGAGGTTGTGGATCAACAATAAGAACTACTTGGCCCAGAGTAAGTTCCTTGACCTCACGCTCCTAGGTTCTCCCGAAATGAGGAGCACTCAGTGGGTTACTAGGTCACTGAGGAACTCTCAAAGGAGATGGACAGCCCTTCAAGCTCCATGTGACACTGCTGAGATGTCTGTAAGGAAAGCAATTTAGTGGTCCCAGTTAACTTGAGCTGCCATACTGCTGGCTATTGTCCTCTCTGACCTGTCTTTAAGGACTGCGTAAGTTTCCATAGTGCGGTGACCATGGTGGAGAAGGACTTTGACCATTTTCAGCATGATCTTTGGCGAACGATTAGGTTTGTCCAGGTAAGCCTTAGTGGATGGCATGCTCACCATAAGTACAGCCTCTGGCGTGTCATAAATTAAGTCATATAGAACTGTCATTAATAGAGTCAGGTTAAGTTCTTTGCAGACCTTACATAAGCACTTAAGGTTACAGGTCTTTACATAGGTCCTACCACATCTCCAGCAACCTTTTCCTTCTTATTCCAAGTGACAATTTAAGCTGTGGTCAACTTTATGAACTGGTAACAAGAATTGACATAATGGTACCTGTTGTCACAATGGGGACAGCATGGCTTTAGCTTTGTACCGA